AAGTCCACTGAAGAGAGGCTCTTGTCATCAAGGTAGTCTCAACTTGCTTGTTTGAATAATAAAGAAAATATCAGCAGGACACAGGGCTCAGCAAATGGCAATAGAAAATCCCTTTGATGAGGGCAATGAGGGAGGACTTCTCAGAATTTTGGAATGGCATGCCCATAGATGGCAGACATTTCAGACAATGAGGCAGACAGGATATCATTTCTGGGGCTGGGACTCTACTTGGCATGTTAGTGTTTAGGAAAATCGTGGTGCCAGGAGCACATGTGGACTAGGGAGGAGGGATTCAGTTAGAGAGGCGTAAGAGAATGGGGCCTCAGAGCATTGGTCTCAGCATTGGGCCCATGTGGCCTTTCAGAATGAGGCAATTTGGCTTTCCCATTTGTTGGAGTTCTTTGAAATAAGCTGAAATACAGATACTTCTCTGCTTTTAGGAAAAGAAAGGGATGAGATGGTGCTTTTCCCTTTTGCATAAAATAAGCATGCCAAAGCTGTGGATTCCTGAAAGATCTCAGATTGTTTTTTCTTGCCCAATAATTGACTTTTACAACTCCTGGAGTAGAGAACGCTCTTCTCTTCATTCTGGTGCCAGGAGCACTGTAGATGCATCACTCTTCCTATCTGGTCTTATCAGGGAACTCCATTCAGACAAAACCAACTGACAGAAGGTGTCAGGAGGGGAGGCGATGATCTGGTAGAGAATTAGGAGTTCCACTGGCAGTTCCGCTAGAGCAGTGGCCAGGTGGGAGCAGCTCCTAGATGGACCATCCTTCTTCCTATTTTTATGACATTCTCTTCAAGTACAGATTCTTTTTCTACTAGTTACATACCTAGTGGGGAAACCAAGGACAAAAAGGAAATAGAGATGGCCTGAGGGGAGTCTTCAGTGAATCATCTTCTTGTTACCATCTCCCACTTTGCTCACAGTCCTGGCTTCAGGATAACAAACTCCCTCTGCCTCTGGGTCTCCTAGAAGTAACTACTGACTCTTGTATATCACAAAAGACCCTGTGGGGCCACCCTAAAATTCTACCAAATATTCATTGAGGCAGCCTGTCAACTCAGGCTCTGGCTAACAGGGAGATGTGAACTGTTGTGCCCACCACTCTGTTTTCCTCTCCAAAATATTTTTGGAGAAATATGTACATATGGATGTAAATTTGTACATTTTTAAAAGATTCAGATCCCAGTTATCTTCCAGTAGTGATGTACAAATTTATTAATGCTACATGTCACTTTTTTAGTTTCCAAACAACAACAGCTAAACATTTTTGGTTTAGTATTTGAAATATTTTAGTGCACTAAAAAGGACATTTAATTTTTGATGAAATAAAATTAGTTTTGGTCCTGTCTCTGTCACTTGCTAGACGTGACTGTGAGTCACTTGCTCAGTTTTTGGTCTTTAAGGGAAGATACTGAAATCCAGCTCATAGATTTATGGTACAGTTTAATAGGGTTGTTACATGATCAGTGGTTAGAGCATAGTAGACACCCAATGGGAGACAGTTTGAATCTCTATTTTTTTCTTGGCATAAGCAGCAGTTCTCCTGAGTGCAAAGAAAGACCACAATAAGTGGAAAGAAGCAAGGTTACTCCCATATAGAAGCCACACCTTGTGATTTCTCCATTTGACATCATTGCATGTGAACCTCTACTATGACAGTCACACTTCAGTAGAGGTTTTCATAATCAGTCTGGAAGAATATATTCCAATTTTAGAGGAGGACTTTTTCCTTGAGGAAAGTTGACTCTATATTTCCAAATGCTGGTAATTAATAATAGTAGAGAACTGGATACAAATGATTTTTTGTGGAAGACACATATGAGTGTATTGTTCTTTTAAGATACCCATGGTCTCTAAATGTGATTTCTGGAGCTGGGGGCAGTAATACAATAGAAGAGATATGCTCACTTTATTTACTTTCTTTTTCTTCCAAACTCAGTTTAAATACAAGATAAGGTGTTAAAACAAGTTTAAATTTAATGAAYGTTGACATATAACAGAAGGTAGTTGTAAGCAAGAGATGAAAAAATTATTCTTAAAATTTTAAGATGATGTGGTCCGAATGTTTGGCTTCAACACCATCACCATCTTTTAAGTTACATCATTTGATCTGATTTTTCTAACGATGAGTTATCATAGTTCAGTGTGGTGTTGAGTGATTTCATAAATCATATTCATGATCTGTTTGTTCCCTCTGTTCTTCCCAAGAATGTGGCTTTGATGAATAAACAAGTTATAATGTGCTTGCTTCCATCACATGTATATCCAAAGTTATAAAATCACAATGTTACACAAGCTCAGAGTTGCACCGTGGAGATTGTGCTGGCTTAAATGAAGTTGGTCTGTCAGCCCTCATAATACTAGACTGAGAGGTCAGAGAAGTCTCCCGAATGTGGTGATTCTGTAACTTCCCTTTTGAAACATATTTTGTCTTGTTTCTGCTTAATGAGGTAGAGAAAGCAGGCCTTGGGGTCCTTCTCAGGGTATGTGGGGGCTGTGCAGCTGCAGCTGCTGTGACCCTAGCTTGTGGTTAAAGGGTACTGAAAAGCAGGTGTTGGATGGATGCATTTTATGCCCAGGTTTGATTGGTCACTGCTCACAAGTAGACATCTTATTAAAGTCAAAACCCAGAGTGGAGGCAATATTTACCCTTTTTAAAATCACAGGAAAATCAGATCATTAGAAAAGCAGCCACATCTACTTTAGTCAGAGGGAAAAGGAGACCTCTGGCAGCTTGCATCTGCTTTCCTGTTTAGTCCTGCAGTGCTGGAAAAGGCTGAGACTGGCTCACCAGAGCCAATTGTGTGTTTCTCTCTCCAGCCCCATGTCTATGACATCATGTTGGTAACTTGAAATTGGCCATTGTGGGAGTAATTTACACCACAGAAATTGGCAAATGTGGCAAATTTGCAACTCAATGGTGAATTTTATAGTTTCCTTTGAGGAAAGTAAGTAGAAATAATTATTTTATTGATAATTAAATAGAAGTTCTTAAGTAAATTAAAGTGCTCAAAATGGTAACTAGATGCCTGGTAGATAATCAAGTCAATTATCTGGTAATTTATATGCCAAATGTAGTAATTTATACCCCAATTCATACACATATCTATATATGTAACATATATAAATTGGACTACCCAGTTCTTTTCCTAAAAACCAGCATATAGCTGACAAATTAGTACCTCTCTGGTACTTATTTTAAATATTGTAGCACACTCATTCACAAGTCAGCAGACACACATAATTAAGGCTCTGTAGTACTTATAAAAATATATGAACCAAGAAGAAAATATGAATCGGGAACTAAGTATCCATCTGAGCAGGCTTGCCTTACTTTTTGAAAATCTACCTAACACAAGAATTTTCAAAGCAATATTTTTAAACTTCTTTAACAAATCTAGTCATAAAAACAGTAAAACCCAAACCCAAACGGGAGCTGGGTCGGTTAGGAGCTGTCTTTGGAAAAAATAATTTTTATCTTTTAATTCACATGTAATTTACTTTGGGATAAGAGCAGATATTCTGTTATTTATAAAAATACAGCTACTGCCATCAGAATGGGAAGCATCCTACTTGTAAATCGAGACAATCCATAGATGAGTAGTGTTGGCTTGGACTATATAAAAGATCAAGGATAAATAAAATTCTTGTTCAACAGCCTGGGGAAGAAGGACTCTTGCTACTATTGCTGGGCACATGAATCTAAGGATAGTCGATTTCTCCCATTGTTTATTCATCAGATCAACAAACATTTATTATACATTTCCATGTCAGCATATATTGCCTTCATTATCTTACAAATTCAAACCCCTGAGACTATAAGAAGAGGCCCCCCAGAAGACAGGGTGGGTTAATCAGCCACTGGTTGCTGGGAGCACTCAAGGTCTCCAAATTGCCTCTGGTTCCCTTGTGCCCAAGGCCCTGACACACTGGATCATACTACCCTCTCTTCCTGCCAACATAGCAGTGATTGGGTATCCGCAGGTATTCCTGCCTTTGTTCATTCAAATCAACTTAACAGTCCTGTGCCTGCTCTGAGCAAGGTGGTGAGGCAGTGAATGGCAGGGACCTTCATTTATCTGGGAAGTTCAGCTTGTGGTTATGGTGGGTGGGCAGCTTTGGGTATAGAACAGTCATTCTCATAATCAACTCCCTGTTTTTTTCAGCTGGGACTGATACCATTTTGCTTTATCTGGGAAACATTTGTTCCCTGGGATTGATAACCAAATGCCAAATGTTTTCTTTGATATAAGGAGGCTGGTTCTTAATGGGATAGGGAGAGGGAGCATGGGAGGAGTAGATGAACTCTAGATAGGGCAGAGGGGTTGGAAGGGAAGAGAGGGGGCATGGGGTTATTAATGATGGTGGAATGTGATGATCATTATTATCCAAAGTACGGGTATGAAGACATGAAATGGTGTGAATATACTWTGTGTACAACCAGAGATATGAAARATTGTGCTTTATATGTATAATAAGAATTATAATGCATTACACTGTCATATATAAATTAAAAAAATGAATAAATTTTAAAAATTATTCTTGCCCATTGAGAGGTACTGCAAGAAATAGCAGGCTAGGAACAATGTTATGTATAGTCTTTGACAGACTCCTTGAGTCACAAACTCCTTATTTTCTCTATGAGAATCATCATTTTAATGTTCAATAGAGAAAAAAGACTTTTGGAGGGGACAGGAGGTTACTGTTGTTTGCAAAATCAGGGACTGTCCACAAGACTTCTGAGGAAATGGAAAGGAGTTAGGATCAGTAAGGGAAGGTCAGGACTCAGAGTCCGGGGACATGAAGAGTGTTCCTGATGAAGTGCTAAAGGATGGTTGTCATTTGCATTGGATACTCCATGTGGGGAAACAGTATCACTCACTTTTTTTCCATTAAAACTCTACATTCTGGCCATTTACATGGGTTTTCTTCTCCTTTTCTCCGTCTCCCTTTGTATCTGGTATGTCTCCCTTTGATTCTTCTTTCCCAGGCGTGTTTGATAACTGCTCTCACACAGTCAATGATAAGGGATGGGCCCTGGGGATCCGCACAGGGAAGGACAAGGGAAGGCGAGACGCTCGCTTCTTCTTCTCCCTCCGCACTGATCGTGTGAAGAAAGCCACCATCGTGACTGGCCACAAACGCTACCAACCAGGTACATGGACACATGTGGCAGCCACTTACGAYGGACAGCGCATGGCCCTGTATGTGGATGGCACCCGGGTGGCTAGTAGTCTAGACCAGTCTGGACCCCTGAACAGCCCCTTCATGGCTTCTTGCCGCTCCCTGCTCCTGGGGGGAGACAGCTCTGAGGACGGGCACTATTTCCGTGGATACCTGGGCACTCTGGTCTTCTGGGAAACTGCCCTGGCACAAAGTCACCTACAGCACAGTCCACAGCATCCCAGTGGGGTGGAGGAGTTGACCACCCTAATCCTGACAGCCAGTTTTGATCCTCTGAAGGAACAGTGGGTCCCCTTTAGGGATGAGAAATATCCCCGCCTGGAGGTTCTCCAGGGCCACCAGCCAGAGCCTGAGCTCATGTCACCGTTGCAGCCCCCACTCTGTGGGCAAACTGTGTGTGACAATGTGGAACTGATCTCCCAGTACAACAGACACTGGCCCCTTCGGGGAGAGAAGGTGATCCGCTATCAGGTGGTGAACATCTGTGATGATGAAGGTGGGCATCCCATTGTGAGCCAGGAGCAGATCCGCAGGCAGCAAGAGGCTCTGACTGAGGCCTTCAGTCGCTACAACATCAGTTGGCAGCTGAGCATCCACCAGGTCCACAACTCCACCCTGCGCCACCGGGCTGTGCTTGTGAACTGTGAGCCCAGCAAGATTGGCAACGACCATTGCGACCCTGAGTGTGAGCACCCGCTCACCGGCTATGATGGAGGTGACTGCCGCCTACAGGGCCGCTGCTATTCCTGGAACCGCAGGGACGGGCTCTGTCACGTGGAATGCAACAACATGCTGAACGACTTTGATGATGGGGACTGCTGTGACCCGGAGGTGACTGACRTACGCAAGACCTGCTTCGACCCTGACTCACCCCACAGGTAAGGAAGTGGGCTTGGGTGTCCTTTGTGTGGAGGGCGTTTCCAACATTGTTCTGCCCTTTGGCTTCACACTTTTTTTTTTTTTTTTTGGTACTGGGGATTAAACCCAGGGGCACTTTACCACTGAGCCATGTCCCAGCATTTTTCTTTTTCTTTTTTGAGACAGGGTATGGATAAGTTGTTTAGGGTCTCACTAAGCCACTCTTTCATACTTTATTGGGTTTTTAGGAAGGACTAGGTGTCATGTTAGGCAATTAGCGCCTCAGAAGACAAGGGACAGTCTTCACAGAACTCAGGATCTGTGGAGCAGACAACTGTGTAGCATGTACCTGAGGCACAGGGGAGTGGAAGGACTCGCTGTACTTGACCAGGCCAGGATCTCAAGGAGAACAAACACTGCAGGTCGTGATAGCAACCAGTCAATGCACTCCCATAGGCAGTTCTTCCTGTGGTCACAGGGTCTTACCAAAGTCAGACAAATCCACGGAAACATCTYACAACTGCTTGGTCTTTGGTGAAGTTTGAGCAGTTCAGTGCATTCATGGGCACAAGTGTACTTTACACCTGGCCTCAGGTTCCCAAAGTCTTCTACTGTTCCCTGGTAATTTCCATTTGCCATGTGGCATCTACAGGGGTCTTTTGTAGAGGGAAAATCAGATCCTGTAATTCCCCTTCTGACTTTTTCCTCACTGCACTTAATACCTAAATCCTCCTCTGGCTCACAGATCCTGCTGCGATCGGGCCCTTTCTACATGGTCAGCTTCTTCCTCTCTATCACTTTCTTTGCCCACATGGCACAGCCTTGCTGGCTGTTCTGTTCTGTTCTGTTCAATAGATGAATCTTCTTCCTACCCCAAAGGCTTTACCTTGACTATTCTTTTTGGAATTCTCTTTTCCTTGATCTTCCCTTGGTTGGTTCTCTCTCATCATTCTAATATCTACCTGATCTACCTTCTACCTCCTGGGGTAGCCTTTCCCAACCCCCCAGTCTAAAGCAGCTATCCAATCATTTTTTTTTGTGGGAGGGGTTACCAGGGATTGAACTCAGGGGCACTTGATCACTGAGCCACAATCCCAGTCCTATTTTGTATTTTACTTAGAGACAGGTCCTCACTGAGTTGCTTATCATCTAATTTTAACCACCTGCCCAACACCACTTCAGATGTTTTTTCTATGCAATCATATGTTTTTCTGTCTTTCCCGTTTGGATTGCTGATTCCATGAGAACAGGGGCCTTGTCTGTATTGTCTCTATGTTCCCAGTGCCTTGAACAGCCACCAATGTGGAATTATTTGTCTCATGTTTATTTTGATGAATGAATGCATCAGATGTATCTTCTGTTCTGAGACAGAAATAGATAAAAAGCTTCTCATTTGGTGTCTGATCCAGAGGCGGGGGTGGGGGGGATGTTGGAGAGAGGTTGGAAAGGAGGGAGTTAGGCAGTAAACCTGTTAATCTGTCTATGTGGACAAGGCGTCCCTAGTACAACTGGTACCTTTGTTGGAATTATGAAAAGGCACACCTAAGCTAAAGTGTAAGGCTGGCAGGTGGTAGGAGGACTGGCTCACAGCTCCCAGGGCCTGAATGGCTGCCTTTCTGTTGGTCATGATTTGTTCAGTAGTTCATGGTGTCTGTATCCACGGGCAGTCCTCCTGCTGTCAGTTAATACTAACAGACTGGCCTGTGGCTCAGGCACATGGTGTTGAGGACAGAGTGTAAGATTTGGAATCAAGGAACACAGTTAAATCCTAGAGCCCTTGCTACTGAACTGGTATGCAAGTTACAAAGTCACTTTCTGAAATTCAGGAGAGTTGCCTGCAAAATGGGGGTGACTACAGTCATACTTTGTATTGCTATTTATCTTAAGTTGTTTTGTGAATCAAATGAAATAAAGCACAGGGAAGTTGTACCTCTAAAATTTTCAATGTACACAAATAACATTAGTTAGTATTGTTAGAACTGACAGATGGAAAGTCTTTGGTTACATAATAATAATGCATAGGGAATTGATTACATTACCAGAAATAGTTGCTTAAGAAAATTCTCTTTGGGTTTGGGTTTTAGATTTTGATAATCTTGAGCATAAATTAAACCTCACCAATAGCAGTGGCTGACAAGTCTTAGGATCCCCAGGGAGATAGGAAAATTGGGCTTGTTCTCAGTTTTCCCCCAGCTCATTATAACAACCCACTGCTGTCCACCACTATAAGGAAACACCTGAGATAATCCCCTTCTAAGGAGAAAAGGTTTGCTTTGACTCATTGTTCTGGAGTTTATAGTCCAAGATTAGGTGGCCTTATCACTTGGGGCCCCCTACAAAGACATATCATTGAAGGACTGTGTGTGCCTGAGCAAACTGCTCACCTCATGAAGCAGTAACCAACAAAGGAAGAAGAAGAGACCAGGCTCTCACAATCCCCTCGGAGGGCATACCTGCCATGGCCCCCAGACCTTCCACTAGGCCCTGCCTTCAAAGGTTCCACCACATCCCAATAGCACCACCCTTGGGATCAAACCTTTAACACAAGGACCTCTGGGGACACCCATCCAGGCCACAGCAGTCTTTCAGGGCACGCAGACATCATTTTCCTCAGGGTGGCCTTTTCCCTCTGCATTGTCCTTATCTGAGTGTTTACAATTCACTCCCCTCACTGCCTCTGAGTTGCCATGAGGGCTCATCCCATTCTATCTGTAAAGCCAGAAGGCTTGTGAACATTTCTTCATAGAGACTTTAGTATCCTGACACAGAATATCTGCTTTGTGGAATTAAAGAAAATATTTATATGATTTATTTTTGGTGGTACTGGGAATTGATTGAACCCAGGACCTTGCACACGTTAAGCATATGTTGTACCACTGAGCTATACTCCCAGTCCTAAATATTTATGTTTTKAGTGTTAAAAATATTAATAGCAGAGTAATAAATGCTTATGGTTAAAAATATCAAGTTGTACCTAAAGATTTATAAAGAACAAGAGACTCCTGCCTGATTCTCCCCCATTCTTTTCCACTCTCTAGCCTTGATCTCATAGGTAGGCAAATATAATTCTTTTACCTATCTCTTCTGTTGGTTACCTACATATCTCCAAATATATTTATAATGTTTAATTCATCAATATTAAAAATTGACTTGATCTTATGATACAGATGAGACCAACTCTCTTAAATTGTCTCTCTCTTTCTTTCCATCTTTCCAATCAAATTATTTTTTTACTTTTAGTTGAGTCAGTATAGTCATCCATTGGTATCCCTAGGGAATTGGTTCCAGGACACAGGAATCTGCAGATACTCAATTCCCCTATACAAAAGGCATAGTATTTGTGTATAATAGCAGATACTCAATTCCCCTATACAAAAGGCATAGAATTTGTGTATAATATACAGATATCTCTAGATTACTTTTAATACCTGATACCATGCAAACACCATATAAATAATTAATTATATCTGTTGTAAGAATAATGACAGGAGAAAAGTTTATACATATTCAGTGCAGATGCAACTTTTTCTCTACTATTTTTGATCCACTCTTGATTGAATCCACAGGTGTGGAACCCCTGGACATGGAGGGATGACTGTATGTGTATTAACATTACAGCAGTGATCTAGAACAAAATGTCACCCTATTTTCATTCTTACACAACCTCTTCCCATCCCCTATCCTATACGTGTGTCTCTTCTCCCTTCTTACTTCTTTTCTTTCCTTCTTCCTTTTCTCCTTCCTTATTTTAGTCTTCCTTGATACCCTCAATTGTTTCCAAATGCTTTATCACACAATCTATTTGTATCTTTTTTTATACCAGGAATTAAATTCAGGGGCACTAGATCACTGAGCCACATCCCCAGCCCTATTTTTGAATTTTATTTAGAGACAGGTCTCACTAAGTTGCTTAGGGCCTCACCATTTCTAAGGCTGGCTTTGAACTCTTGATCTTCCTGTCTTAGCCTCCTGAGCCACTGGGGTATAGGCGTGCCTGGCAGGTTTTTTTTTTTTTTTTTTTTTTTAACACACTTACCTGAAGCTTTCCCTTCTAGATCTTCTATTTTCTTTTTCTAATATTGATTGGCCAGTTATCTTTAGGTAGGCTGCATACGTGTTCTAGGACTTCACTAATTTTTTGAAATACAGCCAATGTGTCCTGAATTACATGAATTTCTCTGAATTTACTACTTTATTTTACTGGAAAATACCCTTACGTAACTTTCTAAGAAAAGATGTTTTGGGCAAACTTCTCTGAAAATGACTTATCAAGAGTGTTTTTATTCTGCCTTTACAAAAAACTGATAATTTGTCTTTGTATAAAATTCTGATTTAAAAAACATTTTTCCCAAATATTAAAGAAATTAATTTCCTCTAGAATCTATTCTGATAATTTATTATTTGGTCTTTTAAAACATGTATTCACACATTTTTCCATTTTGGAATCTTAAATATTATCCTTAGCCTCTTACTTTAGGGATCCCATTATAACTTTTCTAAGGGTTAACCTTTTTCTCTTCTATGAGCACTCAGTGTGATTCTTCAGTTTGGACAACTGTGACCCTTATCTCTGAAAATTTTCTTAATTCATTACTTTGATATTTTTAAATTCTGTTTTCTTTGTTCTATATTTTCTCCTTGAGACACCTGGGAATGAATCTCCTGAATTAATTACCTTACTTTTTTCTCTCATGTTCTATCCTTTCTTATTTTGTTCCATTTTTTTTATTTCCTTGATTTTGTTTTCTAATTATTTTATTTATTGTTAAAGATATATGCAAAATATATAAATATATACACATATATGTGAATAGTTATATTTACATGTAAATGTGTATATGTAAATTTTTTGACAGTTCTGGGTATAGAACCCAGGACTTCGTGCATATTACACAAGTGTTCCACCACTGATATGTACTCCAGTTCACAAACCTTTTAAAGACATGGTTTATCTTTTGATTTTTTTTTTAGTATTAGTCTATTTTTATTTGAATGATGCGAACTTTTGTGAGGATAAAAA